TGGAGGTGGAGGAGAAGGAGGAGAAGGGAAAGGCTGGAGGAGGAGGAGGGAGGAGGAAAAGGAGGAAAGAAGAGGAAGGAAGAAGAAGAAGAAGAAAGAAAGAAAAAGAAGAAAGAGGAGTAGAAGATGAAGGGAGAGCAGCAGAACGAGGAGGTGGGAGGAGATGAAGTCGAGGAGGTGGAAAAGAAAACGAGGAAAAAGAAAGAAGAAAAGACGGAGACGGGGGAAGGGAGAGAAGGAAGGAGAAAGAGATTAAGAGGAGAAGGATGAAAGGAAGACGAAGATGAATAAAATAATAATAATAATAATAAATAGAGGGAGGAACAGAAGATAAAAGTGAAAGAGGAGAAAGAGGAGGATGAGGAGGAGAGAGAAAAGAGAGGAGAGGGTAAGATGAGAAAAAGGAGAAGAAGAAGGAATAGAAGAAGTGAAAGAGAAGAAAGGAAAGGAGACGAGACGACGTCGAAGAGAAAAGGGGTGCCCTTAAAAGAGGCTCAGGACTCCAAGTCTGCAAAAGTGAACAGCAAAACGAAACGAGAAAAAGAACAAACTCACGAACAAAAGAAATTTCCTAAGGACTCTCTTTGTCTTCCAAGATGCCCGGGAGAGGAGGTGGGGGGGGGGTTAGGGGGGGAGGAGGGGGATGTTTAGGAAGGGATACTGGAGAACGACACATCGCATGGATGCTTCTAATGCCACCTTCCCCACCCCTCCTCTCCCTCCCCTCCCCTCCCACTCCTCCCATTTCCCACCCTCCTCTCCCTCCCTTCCCATTCCCCACCCCTCCTCTCCCTCCCCTCCCCTTCCCCACCCCTCCTCTCCCTCCCTCCCCTCCCCACCCCTCCTCCCTCCCCTCCCCATTCCCCACTCCTCCCCATTCCCACCCCTCCTCTCCCTCCCTTCCCGCACCCCTTCCCCGACCCTCCCCCCTCCCCCCCCCTCCTCTCCCTCCCCTCCCCCTTCCCCACCCCATCCATCCTGCCCACCACCCTCCCCCCCATCCCCTACCCCACCCCTCTTCTCCCTCCTCTCCCCCTTCCCCACCCCTCCTCCCCCTACCCCTCCCTCCACCGTTAGCCTGAACAATGAAGATGATACGATCTGACACTTCGTCTTTTTTGCATATCCTTCTTAACGTGTATCTTCCGGTCCCCCTTCTTGTTAACGAGGATGCTGAACACGGGGATACATTTGCAAAGAAGCATCAATAAGGCTGGAGGCAATGGTAATATTAGAAAAAAAAATAACTAATAAACTAACTAATAATAACTAATAATAATAACTAATAAATAATAACTAATAAATATAAAATAACAATAATAACTAATAAAATAACTAATAACTAATAAAAATAATAACTAATAACTAATAAAATTAACTAATAAAACTACTTACCGCCACTATCCTTGTTTATCATCATTCTCTGCACTAGCATTATCACTGTTCCCATTACTCATACATAATAATACATACAACAAAGACAAAAAAAAAAAAAAAAAAAGGGAAAAAATATAAATAAACATTAACATCAACCACATTAACAACAATGACAACACAAACCATCATAAAAAAAAAACACGCGATCACAGCCTCTGCTCCCAAATTCACCAATGCTTACGACAAACGACCAATAAAAAAAAGAACAGAAAGAAAATGACAGTCATGAGGTCATGACACAGCAGCATTTCTTAGTCATCATAAGGCGACGACTTCCCGGAGCGAGGGACCGAGGGCCGATAAACTGAGCCGACGCTCCTTCCGCCAACAAAGCAATAAAGAGAAAACAAAGAAAGAAAGAAGAGAAGAAGAAGAAGAAGAAGAAGAAGAAGAAGAAGAAGAAGAAGAAGAAGAAAGAAGAAGAAGAAGAAGAAGAAGAAGAAGAAGAAGAAGAAGAAGAAGAAGAAGAAGAAGAAGAAAGACAAAGCCACAATAAATGATGCATAAAAATGATACATAAAATAACAAATGCAGAAGGAAACTAATGACAACTGAGGCAAAATACAGGAAAAAATGAAAAAAAGTTGAGCGGGATGATGCAAATCATGGGGAGAGATAGAAAAAAATAAAACAGAAAAGAGGTACACAGGAAAATAACAATAAAAAGAACCAGACAGAAAAAAACAATACAAAACATTCGAACGAAACACAAAATATATAATACAAAATAAAGTGCAATGAAAATTATACAAAACAAGAAAATATCCAGTCGAAGAATAAAAATAAACAAAATTCAAAATAAATACAGAAACTACAAAGCAACAGGAGATAATACAAAACATTACTAAACAGACACGTCTACAACAAGATCTCCGTTCGGGGGAAAATGCTGTTGGGGATTTGGGACCGAAAGCTACTCTGGGATCGGTTGGGAGCCAGGAATCAGATAGGTCGGAAGGAAACAATTATACGCATTCTCTCTCTTTCTCTCTTTCTCGCTCTTCTCTCTCTCTCTCTTTCATCCCCCCTCTCTCTCTCTCTCTCTCTCTCTTTCTCTTTTCTT